AAATGAGAGGGCGGCTTATTGACATTGAGTAAGGTGGGACTGCTAACCGACAAATGTCCTTTACTTCCCATCCATTTAGTCTGACGTTCACGCCTCCGCCATCAAGCCAACAGACATTTGGTTCCCACTATCTTTGCAATGATGTGTCGAGTGAGGGATGCAATCGACCCTGAAGAGTCTCGCCTCAGCTCCCTCCTTTCGAATTTGTCGTCTACGCTAAAATGGCCTCCAAAAGGGGATGCTACGCCTGTTTTGCGTGTAAGCGCACACCGAAACGAGGGTGGTGGTAATCCATAATGAGTGCAAGGCGTTGTACTTCAGGCACAGCATGGCAGACATTTTTGTGGAGCACATTTCGACTCATCAAAGAACAAAAGTGGATTCATTGAGACTATCCGAGCAGGTGATGCTGTTATGGCATGCATGTACTCTGTTAGCACCTGACAAGCTCTGCCCAACGGGTGAATTGTGATTGCCTGGAGTCGATTGATTGGCCTCTGCCAACACTTGCTGCATGGTGTTTCGTTGTTGATACGGAGCAGAATTTGTCACGGAAGTGACGGAAGTGGTTATACTGCGAAACTCCATATACAAAGTCAGTCGACGATGCCAGTGCAATTATATAAGGGTCTTGATCTTAATGCAATGACGGAAAGCAATTCAGTCGTGTGAATGAGATGAACGGGACAGCGTCGCATAATCAACCGAAGGCACAGTGCCAACCGGTTGAGAAGAGGTTGCGAGCCTCAAGCCTTCTCGACAGCACTATGAACAAGATAGGAACCTAGGTGCATCTGCATGATACTTGTCTTGAAGTGAATTGGACCTTCTACGCAATCTCCGCAGTGAGTGTCTGCAACAATACAGCGATTGCAATCACCACCACATCCATTGATAGAAGATCTGGCAAAGGCAGGATGAAAGAAGGCGCGAGACTAGTCTCCAAATTGAAGGGAGGCAACACCACAACGAGTGCATTGGAAGTAGGCAGAGGTGGGATGTGACCAGTCTCTACACACTGAAAGAAAAGGACGTCAACTCCACTTCATGTCGGCCACTCCTCACCCAACTTCGAAGGTCTTCCGTGGAATATGAATGCTATTGTGGGCCATGCAATCGAATTCGTCACATTGGGCACTGTCAAAATGGTGAAGGTGCATTGCTTTGTCAGAATAGTGGAACATGAGGAGAGCATGCAAACAAGTGGAGAGGAACAGTAGTGAGTTGGAAAACCTACATCTGTTATCAGAGGGAGACGTCCTCCCACCTGCTGCTGTCAGCTACCTTCGAGCCGCATGAGGGTACGCACAATTCGTAGGTAGTTTAAACAAATTCGGTGACTGCATCCGCGAAGGCCTTCAACGTGGTCATCTCCAACTGTCGTGCTGTGAGGTGAGCACTGTCCAAGCATCGAACTACTGGTTCTATCGCGGCAGGTATCAATGAGATGGTTTAAGTCCCCATGTTTCATTCCCCACAGGTGAATCAAGAGCTCTCACCCACTGCAAGTCCAAAGGATCATCACACGGAGGGTCCCGAAAGGTTGCATTGGCATCAGCCGGAAGGAGGAACATCCGATGCCATTTCTAGCAGTCATTATATACGTGTCATGTTGGTTTGAAGTTCAGGACATTTGTCAAACTTTTACCAGTCTTCGTTCCATTTCCATAACTTCAAGTTATGTTTATTTTTAAGAGCTCACAAACGAGCTACGTCGCTCAAGTCAATATTCTTCAACGACATATTACCTCAATAAGAACATTTTCGAGACACATTTTCGACTTAGCTGACTGCGTTGGAATCACCATACACCAACTAATTAGACTACACACGGGTTTCCACCACTTGAACACTGACACCAGTCGCCTGCGTGGTCACCTTTCA